TTTATGCAATCTTCTATGTTACAATCATTTTCTTAAGTCTTCCCTAATGCCCTTGCATTACCGTCATTGCACCGTTTTGATTAGCCGTTTCGTATAGAAACTCTCTAAAGGAAGTGAAGTACCTTTTATCTATATTCTCTTCGCTGTATTCACAAAACATCTCATGGGATTTATCCTTCATTGAAATGAGACAACACTATGAAAGCGAATAGACTGTTCGCTCTAGATTGCATTTCTGTGCACCAGCAACTGGATAGATAACTGGATATCCTTAAGGTGGCATAATGACAAGTCTGGACATACTAGGTGTTTGGAAGAGCAGCGTAGAAGTCCTCTAGCAACCGAATGTGTCCATAGTTGCACCTATCACAAATCGTCAATGTATCGCTGGTATATAGGGTACTGCTTAACAGAGAACTAGAGAATACCGCTGTATTGTTTGGCCAGGAAGCAGACAATGGATTCATATTCATTATTTAGTCCGTAGATGACTGAGGCCATTCTGGAGATTGTGAATATGAACAAATTTCATAGATTTCTAATCAAAGTGACTAAATTTAATGACAACATAAAACTGAAAAAATGTGCGGTACTCAGAAATCTCCTTATGAAACGTTTAGATAGCTTGGTTCGGGGAACCTATGAGTTTCAGCATCAATAAAATATCTACAGAACTTGAAAGTTATACAAAACTGCAAGTTCTAGAGTATTGTGAGAAGATCCCTCCCGGTTGTCCATCTCATGAATACAACAACGTATATACGGGAGGAATGGATATTCGCCATCAATTTTGCTGGCCGTCATTCGTACATTCATGCATTTATGTCAAATACAGCACGTCACCATGAATGTATACAAATTTGCCTTTATGGCTAAATGAGAGCATGCAAAATTGATAACCAATGTCACCTCTTCCCGTATATCTTGGTCTCGTGATGAAATGGGAACTTTAAAAGTGTTCTAAAGCCTCTTCCGGTCGTACCAATTCATTGATCATATCCCACAAACGGAACGAATTGAAACCTAAATAAACAGGACCCGAGCGAAATTACAGACAGTAAATAAAGATCATCGATGATGACAGGTTTTATCACGCTGACGTCATAAGTCCGTGTTAAAAACGAATGTTCTAAGGAGGATATAATTCACACGTACATTCTCGTTTTCCTGCTGAATGTTTATACCTTCCAGAAACTGTCTTGTATATCCTTTAAACGATCAGTCAAAACCGGAATATCTGAATCAAACAAATTAGGAAAAATAAAAAGTTATTGTTTGACATCAGCCTAGAACAGGAGTTTTGCGGACATGGCAATCACAATGCATTCCTTTGACCAGTAAGACGAAAAAAGTAAAACAATTCATTTGTAATCCAAGATTCATTACTGGAGTAGATTTTATTGTATTAGAAAAAGTTTGCATCTCATTTCATATTGGTGATAGGCCGTTCCGACATCATTGGATTCTTTACCAAACACTGGCATTGTAATCCTGTGTGATTCGTCACTCCAGGTTCCACGGCAAATGTCATAAACTGAAGCAACCTTACGCACTTGTATGCATATATGAAAATAAGCACAGTATCATCAACCTGAATATTCGTGATTTGAACAAAAGCATCGATTCTGCATGCTGGTATCTGGTATCAATCTATACAATTGCTATCTTTTTAATGAAGTAAAATTGCCGACAACTGACAAAATAAAACATTTCTATCGTTAATCTAACATTCTACTACTCGGGACTTCAAATCGTGGAATTTGCATCCGGATCAATAAATCTGTAATCATCTCTTGCCCTCATTCATCTAGGATCAACCAATTGTTGTGTTTAATAACCTATGGTAATTGGACAACTTTCCAACAGGCACGTTCAGTTTTGCAGATAAACACATGAACAAATAAGACCGTGATTTGTATTCGTATCCGTTTTTGTTCTAAATGTTTTACCATTCTTATCCTCTTGGTGCATCGTCGAAGTGCTTCTTTTAGCGTTACAATTACTCCAACCGAACGCCCTATTTGACCAATACTTTGTACTGCAAACCCAGTGAGTTAAATAAAGTGCACACGCATTCCACTATGCTTTTGAAATTCCTTTCCACTAAGAGTGTATATTTTCATACCTCACCCTAGCTCTCATAAATGGTCTAACTTTCTTCAACTTGCGATGTATTTGAGCGTTCTACTCCGTTGACAAATCTAAAGGTCTTTCAGTTCACACGAATGCTTGATGAATAGGATACAATAATCAGAAATGAAAGGGTTAAGTTGCCTAGCAAAATATCAACAACCGATGTTGATCCTGTCTGGTGGCAGAATATCCTGGTTCAGGGAGATCGCTTTTCCTCGCCATTTTACTCTTCTCACCTCTGAACTCCCTCTCTTATTATGCTTGTGTTGCTTTTATTTCCTAGATTAAGCAGAATGCAAAATATTTTGCTTCAAAATTCAGTTCCCAAGTATTTCTTGTCCCAGTTGAAATTCTTTTTTTTCGGTCAATAAGTTCTCTTGTTTCATCCTCGGATCATTACCCTAAAGGTCCAACAAATGCTATTAGCTTTTGAACTCATCAAGCCACTGAGTCGTGATGGCGTTCCACCCATTGTATTTAAATATATATAAACACCAGTTATTATCTTTTACGCATTGATTTCTGTCCATTTTTATCACACGACGTTTTGCTGTTTGTTCACCAGAAGGCCCAAATGCTTCCAGTCATTAAAGAAGTATATCTTCGAACCACAAAGCTGTCACCCAGCTTCACGTTTCTGTGTCATTTATAAAGTATACCTCCGTTAGTAGCCTACCAACTATTATTTGTTGTTGAAAAAACAAAATAATAGGTACACACCGATATGGGAACTAGTTTGGCAATATAAGACACATTAGAACATAGTCTCACCTCTTTAAGTTCGGTTTTCCGTCTGATTTCTACTAATGGCTCCTCCGTGTCTTCCGCAACCACATCATTGATATCCGAAGTAGATAAATCAACTTCATTCTCGGTGACACCCATGATCCTCAGGAATTTTGCATTTATCTACACATTTCCGTTACAACAGACTTCTGTACCTGGTCGACCACAAGGAGATCACTTTTCCTAGGTCGTCAATTGTTTTAATTTTATACCCACATTACCGCTAAGTACGTGCAAAACATTTGTCTCAATGATTTGGTCTTGCGTTTGGTCTGTTTGTTATTGCTGTGTTCGATGCCAAATATCAAATTGGACTGAACAGATAGCAGGTTATTTTTCTCCTTTATATAACAGTAGTATGTCTATTTATATATATATTCGGCTTACGGATAAGCACAGTGGCAACACCACAACACCAATAACAGAAACAAGGAACATCTCTCGTCTGGTTGATTGGGCTCTAATGGAAAAAACTAAATTGATAGGCTTTTAAAAAAGTATGTCGAGAGAATGTTACTAACCATTTGGTCAAATGAATAAATTGTGTCAGTGAGAATCACATTATTTACGGAGCATTTGCATACCATTTTCATCAATCAACTGATGATCATAACCAGTTTCACGAAAATATATTACCTTCTTTGACTACTTTCCGAAAGTATGATTTAGAAAACAGTCAGCTTCACAAAACAGGATTTCGTAACTTCGAGAAAAATGCTCATTGAACTTTGAAATATTTTTAATAATAATTTTCAGTGTTCACTTGTTCCTTTCATAATGAATTTTATGGATGCCAGCTGCATTAAATCCACGATTTGATGATGGAATATACCAATCACTGAGAATCCCTTTGAATTTTGAAACGGCCCTCAGACTCATATCGAAATATTATGCTGAAAATAGATAGCTGTTGTCCCTTTGTCTTGGGGCTTAGGTTGCTGGTTTCCATCACTGAACAGCAGATCCTCTGGACTATGGGGTTCACCCCGTCTGCTGTTCATCACACCTGGGTGTGTAATAAAAAATGCATTGGTAGATAAAAATTGTAATTACAAATATATAATTATTTTAGAGATAAAGGAAAATAAAATCAATCAGCAAAACATGTGGCGAGGCTTAAAACAACAATTTATTGATTACAAACTCATTGACAAAATGTTATTTTCCAACCGAAATTTGTCCCCATGGATATAATATTACTAGTTGGTTCACAAATAACGTCTATGAAGGAATTCACGCTACCATAGAAACAGATGTATCATTTGCAGGTATAAATGTCAAACGTGATTGGATCAATTAACGGAATTCCCCGGAAACTTTTGTTTTTTATTAACTTCCCTCTGTCCAGATATTTGTTCACAGTCGTGATTTTTGTCGCCGGACTTTGCTTCATCTGATGACCAAAAAAGCTACCTAGTTTGACTGGCATAATCTGTAGGGGTTAAATATAACAACTCTTTCATATATAAGCTCCGATAGTGGCTTTTCTTAATCAATTATCACGCAAAATTTGAATTCCGTTGAAAGTATCCCTAACTCCATCTAGATTTACATTTTTTGGTCTCAAGTAATTTTAGATTTATCAGTATCTAACAAGATAAAGTTATTCTGCAGTACTCGGTCACCTGTGTGATTACAAACGGAGGGTTTTGGGATTTATATATTGCAAAAGATATTGTGCGGCCTATTTAATTTCACCGGTTGAAAATAACCAAGATAATGTTTGATTACCTTTTTCGTTTCCAAAAAGTGTTTGAAAAGTGGTGAACTACTGTGTTGTGGTTTGAGTGTTAGTTCGTAAATATTTGATTCATAATCTTCTATACTACTGCAACAATTATTGGTTCTATTCTTAGGATATTTAATCAGTGTGTTGAAGTGAAATTAATAGAATATCGTGCAACGTGTTTCGGTTCATGTTTTGATTGGTGGGAATCCTGCTAAGGTGATCCGTGATACGCCTGTTGATTTCTTGTATATGATTGGTTGTTGCGTTAGCTTAATACCATTTTCAATAACTAGCTTTTACTGTTACAATGCTAGAATCAAAATGAGTTGACTCTGCATCTTTAGGTTGTGGAATGCCCAAATTTGTAAAATCGAGTGACCTCCGTCGGAATGATACGATTTATGAATACTCTATAAGTAGTGAAGAAAGCGGAGTAACAAGTTCACCATTTCCAGATAAAGAAGCCGCTTCAGATCGTGAAGTTAAACCGGTCCCACTTTGTTTGAAATCTGACTCGCTTAGAGTCAACACAGATGAACAACCGATTGTACCCGCTCGACTTACAAAGGTGCGCTTGAACTCTGTTGCTGAGGAATCGATTCATACACCTCCATCAGACTATCATTCCAGTTCTCTGTCCACTATCTCCTCTGTGACAGAGTTCAGTCATGAACACGGGGAACCATTTGAATCGGCCTCGCCCGAAGCACATCTGTCAAAGCTCAAATCAATTCATCGGAAAGTCAAACGACGGAAACAATGGCGTTACTTGCTGAGGGTGATCCATTTTATTGTTACAAAGATTCTCGTATTGGTTTTGCTCATTGCCAGCCTAATATTACTGTTGTGCGGTTACTTTCTTGTTGTGCATTACCTTCTCGTGTCCGGATGCATTATCCTTTTAGCCGCCATCGGATTCCAAGTCCAGCTGTGTTTTGCCGAACGGACCGGACCGAATAAGTTTAACCCTATGTCCGTTCCATTCTCCATTCCTGCGGAGGATTTAACACAAATGGATCCTGAATTAGTAAAAGAGCGATCACAATGCGGACCAGAAATGCAAAATCAGCTTGAGACTCCTCTTCCTCGATCATCCGACGCGTCTCGAAACGTTGTCAGTTTTAGTGATCTTCAAGCAAAACGACTGAGTCTAGCTTTAGCCCGTGTGGCAAACAGTGCATTACAAGTTCCACGGTATACAGATGGTGAATCAACCGGTGTGTTGAGATTGGCCAGACGGTTAACAATGGCCAGCTCTGCGATCGGAATCGCCACACACGACCCGAGTTTAACCGGATCAAGCTGGCTTACAGGTAATCAGATTAGGCATGGAGTACGACGCAGTCTTGCTTGGAATGCTACCGGAGCGAGTCGATTTTACGAACAAAACTATGACTAAAGTTATTGTGCTTGTAAGTTTATTTGTATGTCAGCTATTTGCCCAGAATACAGACCCAACATTTATCTGCCTCTTGCAAGCAATTTTGTAAATATATAATAGTACTTCTATTGATCAGTGTTCTCTTGAAACGTATATGCATTTCTGACAGGGAACTGTGCATCACGTAATCACAACACAAGTTGAAATACAAGCTTGTGTTTAGTGATTCGTAATAAATCACAAAATATCGTTGATTGGACTCAAGTGTGAATAGTTATTTTGCCGATGACCGTGAACAAATTTCGTCTCTGAACAGCATATGGGGTATGGAAGGCTCATTTGACTGTGTTCATTCATCTGATCATAATGTAAGGTTTCCGGAGAGTGAACCTGAGAAGAGTAGGCAAACGCATTACGCCTACAGATAAGGGTTGTGTAGACAAGGTTCCCTCTAATCCGTCGTGCCTAGTATATGACAACGTATCTCGGTAGTCAGCTGTAAGCCACATATGAGGAACAGAATATCTGAATCATGGTCATAGTGTACTTGGTTTCAGATGTAGGTGAAAACGCTAAACTGGTGAGGCAGTCAACTATTCCAGTGTTTACCCAAGCACACTGAAGTTGAATAAGGTATATGAGCACGTCGTTATGCGGATCAGAACAGATCGGTTTAACGAGATTGTACAATACTGGGTCCACAATATGGAACTATACCGGCAAGAAAATTAATCATACACGTCAAAAAGATCAGCATTCTATAGAATTTTACAGTTTTACTAAATCTATATCCCAATTGTTGGCTTCATTTACTGTTCCGGTGAACGCTAAGAAACCCCACTCACTTATAAATTTGTTCAATGGCTTTGATGGTGTTCGCCTGAATTCTCGGAGTTCGCGTAAAATCATTAGATTAAAACAATGAAGTTTAATTGAATAAATTACTTCTACTTTTTGAAGCCCATTTTTGTCATGGTAGGTCAGGTATTGGTCGACTTTGTTCACATATTCCTGAATCAACCAATAATTTTTGAAAGTTTTGCTGACAGGCTTTACTAACGGTCTCCTTGGCACACATATTGTTCCAGTTTCAGCTAATTGGATATTGTTTGTGATACACTTGTGTACGGTTCCGTGCGCTTAGATTTTATACAAATGTAGCGTTGTTCATTGTTTAACCAAGCGACTGTGTTGATGTACCATCTGTCGGTATAATATATTATTTTCACGATGAACAAACCACTAAAATCGACTGCAGTTACACTTTGAGCTTAGTCGTCCGTCCAGCATCCTCAAATCATTCCAGTTATAATTCTTTCTGGACTTCATCGTGTTATATAGAGCCTTCTGGCTAAGAAGTATCCCCAGTTTGATACTGGCAAACAATGAGCACCCATAAGGAACACTGCGGAATTCGTGGAGTTCAGAATAAATTTGTGCTCAGCAGCCAGGCAGGATGATGTGCGCAGAAGTTCCCGCCTGTATACACGCGTGATGCAATGAGGGTGTACTTGTAACTGGCTGAGAAATTGAACTAACATACAGACAGGTTCATGTGTACTGCTTGAGAGCTATCGGATACATCTTTGCTTTCACACTTGTTTCTCAGGCAAGTGAATAGGAAAAACACAATTGACCACTTTGCGACCATGTCCGAAAAACTTAGATCTGGTTTTTAGCAAACCTAGGTGAATCACAGTAAAGAAAGAACAAACTACTACATCAATGTCTTCACCCATGACTGCTTAGTGCAGAAGTGACGCCATCATTTATTTAAATAGGAACTTTTTGTCAGCTTGCGAACCGCAGTGACCAATACAAATTGCTTTTAGGAGTGAAACCCTTTTAAGTCCTTCATTGCGTACTGCTCCGGATGCAGGCGGGTCTCTGGAAGGGTTGAAGATTCTTTAGAGGACCGTATAATGAGTAGGGTTTTGATCAAAATAAACAGAGTGCTTAACAAGATGAGATGTGTTATTGTTGTACATTTCAGCTTCGGCTTGGTTAAATGTTCGGATAGAAATGACAATATCGTCAGGATAGCAAAAATCAATAAAAAGGAATGTTATGCATTGGTCAATATTGTAAGTTTTAGTTGGATAGGGCGATGAGTGAGCAAATTGTGGTGCTTTCAAACCGTTGCTTAGTCCAGTATTTTACTGTCATCTCGATTAAAGTTATCTTTCAATCACGCGAAGAAAAAAACGAGGTTCGGAATCTAAAGCTGAACAATAATTAACAAAAGCACAGGGATCACATTTGCAATAATCGCTTAGAAACTTAAAAAGAATGAGTCCATGAAGAGAATCCATTGAGTGTGCGATGAGTGTTTTTGTATGCAAACTGATAACCCTCGTCATGGATAATGATTAATAGTGAAGGGGATTGCAGAGTTAACCTCATCCTAAAGATAAATGAAACCGACTGGATTGAAACTTTTCGGAATACTGAAATGTATTAAGTCTTGGTGAAGAAGAGTAAAACTCAACAAGGAACCACACTCGGGACTGGTTAGTAGTCCACGTGAAATATTCGAGGGATTGTATTTATATGTGACAATGGTTTTGTAGGACGTTTACTGATATCACCTGAGTCTTCCGTATTTGTTGCTTTAGGAGAACAAAACTGTCTATCTTTTACACCGGATTTAAACGAAGAGTTACTCAACGCAGCTTGCAGCTGCTGGGATTCGGTAAAATAACTGGCAATCGTTTTTTCATCTGCCAGTAGACGAATTGGACTCCACATGACGTACAAATGTTATTACAAGTTTCTCTCTCTGTTGTAAAACAATCCATGTGTTTTTACTCACATTTGATTGATAGGAACAGAGGTTTAATTTTGGCTACCTTGTCGTAGGCAAACACATCCCCTTATGACAAATTGACTGGGTTATGAGTTTGCTATCCAGTTGTGAGTCTCAAAAGCATGGTTTAAACATCAGTCGAAGATTTGAAACTGAGCAAACTAAAGCAAAAAGCAACAAGTTGTGCTTGTAACTAACTTTTTTCGTAAGGCAAGACATTCATAGGAGAATGACACTGACGAAATGTGTTTGGACCGAGGAGAAGGGCCGCGTCCCTAATGAGATGGGTTGTTTGGTTTGACAAGCTCCACCACAACTGGTGCATAAGGGGTGCAACGTTTGACACCGAAACTCTGTGGCTACCTGCGGCAAAGTTGAAACTGCCAGCAACAATATGCAGGCGCGGTATGCCAGAGAGTTGAGAAAATTAATGAGACTGCAGACAAAGGACCAAGATTTTCCGTCATTAGTGACTTTATTAAGGTTTTAATATTAGAGTGCGAGGTGCACACTGTGCATTGAAATAATAAAAACTCTATACCAATCAACGGCAGTGGGAAATTGTAGTACAGACTCTCAAATATGAATTCGAACGTATTTCTTGCTTTTTTGAATTGGAAGTATGTAAATGTGATTTGACTAAAGATTAAGTGCAGCTTCTTCCGAGGTACACTGATAGATTCAATCAACTGCATTTGCTCATCGCTATAGATCAGCTGCATGCTCTTAGGCACTTCAGTTGCAATGTTTAAAGTAATCCAGGTGACCGGATATCATGCCTACATCGAAAAGTATAGCTTAGTTTAATCCAGTGGAGTTTTACTTAAAAAAATACTCCATTCAAACATCTTTCACTGATTGATAAATTGTTTTATACAATTGTCAAAAGATAGAATCTAGTATTGAGTAGAATGATAAGAAAACGCTATACACCAGGCTCCTAAACATAACTGATGCGAGCATTCAGGTATTGGTACAAGCGAATAGGAACCGTAATGGCTATACAATGGCTTACTTTTATTTACCGGGTACAGTTGCTAGATTTGGAGTTAACGGGCCACTTGTGTGCATCACATAAACTAAACCAGAGTTTTACAACCAATATACAGCCAGAAAGAACTTACAAATGAACGCAATCAAATCAAATAAGTAGCACAATCCATATCAGTTAAACATCCGTGATTTTGTCAAACCCGTATCTCGTATGTCTTCGCGTAGTTGAATCTTGTTTATTATTGTCCATTTTTTATCTTTACCAGAATCTGCTGTATACTTATAATACCTTTTAGGCTTTATTCAAAATGAAAACTCCGATGAGGCTCCATTCAACGAGACAGTGAAAATCAACCGAATCAAAGAATGGCACGGATGAAAATTGTACAATATAGTAATAATCATATACATAATTGTTACTAATTAACATTTAAATGCTTATACATAAGAGCGAAAGCGGCGTCTCTCAGTTCGAACATGTTTTATATATTATACTTGATTAGTAACCTATTTGTGTGTCATTGTCTTTAAAAAAGATTGAGTTCTTAATAAATTAAAATAAATTATATGCCAGTAAATTAGTCTTTGTTGCAACTCTGAAGCGGTTAACTGTCATTCAGACAAACAGATTTAAAAGGTCGCCTCAACGAGCGAGTTTAAAGGATCCGCCGGCTTTGTGCTCTGTGAATCGGTTCACGGTATTGGATGAACAGAGCAGAACGAAGAACGCAAGCAAATGTATGGTTGGTGGTGAAAAATATATTATTATGTGCATTTATATCTGGCGTAAACAGATTTTTTCTACTGGACATTCGTTTCACATTTTGGAGCAGAAAACAATATACAGATATCTAACAGATAGTACAATAAATAAAACCACAACATCTTTTGTAACAAATTAATGGAACGACTTATTTGTTTGCGGTCAAGTTAGGTCTCAACACATCTGCAATTACAAATGCAAATAGTATTAAATAGTTAAATATTCCTATCTTCAGTGGGTTTCATTTTCTTCCTCAAAACGATTGATTTTACTGCTAACTTTTTTCTTGTTATCTGTCGATTACAAAAAACACATTACTGAACTGCCTTTAGCAGAATAGGGATATTTTAGGTCAAACATTACTTCAGATTGTTACTGCGCAAAGATCTGTGTTCAATGTACGTTTTAAATATTATCCAAATCTTAAACATCCCTCGGTTATTTGTTCCCTAACTC